TTCATTTGCAGCATCTATACCTGGTTTTGTCATTGCTTATTTCAGTGCTGTACTTCTATGGATGAACAATCTTTGTTCATCGCTCTTTGTTTCCTCTTCTCTGAAGATTATGTTTCACATTGTACCATGTTGTTCTTTGTATATATGCTGTATTGTATGTTTGGTTAATAAAGCACTGTTTGACATTTAAAAAAAAAAAAAAAAAAATTAAGATATACTACATTTGGAGAAGTCACAAATACTGCAAAAAAATACACACTGTAATTGTTTTATTCATTTATTTGAACAGAAAAGCTTTCCATTATTACCCAGACAGTTATTATGAAAAAACAGTCTTACGTTTCATGTATAAACAGTGCACGCTCTTGTGGACGAGCACATAGAATGAGGAATAAAAAAATTTAGGTAAGCTCTTGTTCCTGGTTTTCAATATTTTAGAGTCTTCCAAATTACACACTGCTGACCTACTTTCTTGTATATCTTCAAACTATCCCAAAACTATGCACAGTCACCTCTGAAGAAAAAAACGCAACATATAAAATAGGTAATATTCACAGGATTTAAAAAAAAAAAAAAAAAAAAAAAGGGTTAGGCAGGAAAAAAAAAAATAAATCAGTGCATTCACTCAGTTGTAAATTACAATTGTAGTATTATTTTACATCTACAGTAACACGCTATATATATATATATATATATGGCTAGTTAGGATTTCTCTTCCTCAGCAGCCACAATGGATGCTAACATTCACAAATAATTTAAGATAGCTGTTAAAGAAATCTTCGTTTTTGAAATCTGTTATTAAAGTTTATTGCAAGTTTAGGTGTAGCTACCCAATGTTTATTTTCTTTGCCCTAGAAATGGGTTACTAAGAATCAAACCTACAGGACAAATATAGTACATCCAACACATCTATTGCTAGACCATTGCCTTCCCTAATCCTTTCTAGCAAAGTTGCTGGCTGTTTTCTTAATCTTCAGGGTCTAGGTTTGTAAACCTGATCTTGGCTTTATTACTCAGCGAGTTGCTGATTTTTAACAAACATACATCCAATGAAGGTGTTAACTCAAAAGGTAGTAAAGACAGGACCAGATCATCAGTCCTGGACCATCCTCCAAGGTCTGCAGTGACAATTTCCATATTACCGTCAATACAGTTCCCTTTAAACAGCTTTTGTAAGGCAACAAGTAAACCCAATCAGTGAACTTTTAATGCTGCAAAATCAGCTAGATTTCATGAAACTCTACAAATGTTCATTGGGAGGGTCTGTTTATGCTTTTTGTATCACCAGTCAGATTCAAGCCCCCAAAGCATGTTTGAATTTGATTGGTGGCTGTCAGAAAGGTCTTAATATTGAAATTTTTTTATAAATCAGGCTTCTTTTTAATGTGAGAGAGACCGCAATGACCCTGCAATGGAAGTTTTGGGAATAGATCTCCTGCACTAGATACAGGTAAGCAAAAACATTTATTAAATTACAAAAAAAGAAGGGGCATAGACTATGCATGGAAGAAAACTTAAAGCCTTGAATAAGTAGGTTGTGTTCCCTTTATGTATTTCAAGGCCTAACTAGAGGGTACATATTAAGGCTCACCTAAAAAATGGATTTCCTACCCTTCATCTCCCATGCTACCCCTCATCTCCTGGAGGAAAAGTTTCAAGCTTTGGGTAAGCATGTTGTTCCCTGTATGTACTGTATTTCAAGGCTTAACTAGAGGGTATATACTGTGTAAGGTTTACTTAAAATGCCCATTAACCTAATCTGCAGAAATCATTCTCTGTCACTTGAGTCTAGTTGCCTCCAGTCCCAAACCTACTTTCGGTGTTTAGCTGTGGCAGGGATACGGATTAGATGACTCTACCTGAGCAACCACTCAGTGGTACTGCACACGGGACCCACATTATTTGCCAATATAGCACCTGGACAGGGAGCTCTAAATCACCATCAGGAAAAGAAGGGGGAAGAAGATTTCCTCACATAAGGTTGGTGAGAAAGAGGGTGAAAAATAGGTAAGGGTGATAAATTGCTTGAGTTGTTGCTCAACCCTGGACCTTCTTGTGTCCCTAGTTAAAATGTTCCTGATAGGTTCAACTAATTGAAATGTTAAAACTTGCAGCAAATTAGTAAAATATTTCAAAAAGGAAGGGTCCTCTTTATAAAATAGACGGACATGAAAATGAGTATAACTGCATCAATAAGCCCATCAGCATGTCACAGAACAAAGGAGTGCAGAGGCCTACAGCAGCCAATCTGACCCTAAATGTAACCAGTTTCAAGTAATGCAAGCTGGTGTCTGATCGCCTGCTACAAGCTACTGCACACAGTTTCTCTGTGTCGTGTTGTAAACCACTGCGTAATTACCGAGACCTTCAACACCCCAATATATTATCTAATCACAAACAAAAGGTTGTTCATTGCAGTATTGTACAGTTATTTAAAATAGCTGCATTTATGCCAGAACCTGTTCATATGTCATGCTGGCCATCCTGCAGTAAACCATCCTGAGAAAGCGAAGATGACCGCCTTTCCTAAATAAATAACATTTATGGTCACTATAATACTGTATGGAATATTTACATACAGTTGTGCTCCTTGGAGCTAACAAAATAACAACATGAAAGATCCCCAAAATAGAAACAACTAATTCGACATAGATTTTCTAATTCTCAAACATTATACAGACCAAAGGAAATTAGTGTTTAAAGGAAACTATGAGAATATACATTTTAAAGGGCAATATGAACATACTCTAGGATACTCCCCATGGAACCAATTAGTAGGTGTTTCCTTTAGAAAGGGAAGGGGGTATTTTAGTAAGGATTCAGAGTTGCTGTGACTCCTGGCATATACATAGCTGTATCTTTCCTGTATAGCAGTAGCCTGAATCTCCCTTTTATTTCTCTCTGTATTACAAAAAGCTGTTTTTCATGCTCAGGTTGTATTTAAACAATGAGTGACAAGTGCCTATAGACCACAGAAAAATGTGGTTTGATACTTTTAATGGATCTGGATTAATCTAGTCTATCAACCAAAACAGATGTCAACGAATCTCCATTGTTGAAAGAAAACAAGATTTGCTTTGCTGTAATGCATTCATATCTGTGGTTTGTGTGTTGCTATGGGTCACATTTATTTTACACCTCATATTCCTCTTACTTGCAAGCTTATATGGGACACTGCTATTATATCTTGCTTTTCGTGTATAGGTTTTGCAATTCTGTTTTGTTTACACTTTCAAAAATCTGTATACCATTGTTTTATTTGTGATACTATGAATATAGTCATAAGGTGATGGTTTGAATAATGAATGCACACTTGCGGATTTTGTTAGGATACCAATGGGCAATGTGCAGAAAACTATTTCTTATGATGGATTGTCAACTTTACACTATTCCTGGCTATAAAGAAACTGATGAGGATAGAGGCTTGGGAGTTGCAATTAGTGAGCTCCAGGGCTTATTCTTATCATTCCTTCCTGACAACTACTGATCTAGAACATGCATTGGCATATCAAGTGTTCCAACACTTTGCTGACTACATGTGTGGTTTGGGTCAGAGAATCACTAATACAGGCATAAGGATGACACCCTAGCACCTTCAAAAACAAGTCATAAACTTCCATTATCCTCTCCAGTATCCTTTACGCCCAGCTTGTGGCAACTAAGGGAGCCATGATAAACAATAAAAAGAGACAAGCTAAGCACCCATAATGGCCACAGCAATACTAGTCTCTGTGCACGGTTCAAATGAGAATGGTTTAAAACAGCAAAACATACAATGTCTATTTATGCTGTAGAGCAGGGGTGTCAAACTGACAGCTCTCCAGCTGTTGAGAAGTCCCATCATGCCTCTGCCCTTGGGAGTCATGCTTGTAACTGTCAATCTTGCATTGCCTCATTCAACTTTTATTTTGGCAACAGCTGGAGGGCCGCAAGTTTGACACCCATGCTGTAGCGGGTCAAGCAAAGCCTTTTGACTGGTGTTGGAGACCCTGCACTGGATCCTCTCATTCCTTGGGCCCATAGCTTATTAGTGAGCTACTTTTGCTGTGGCAGAAAACTATTAAAAGAACAGAGGTTTTTGAAAGAAAGCCTCAAAAACTTATCTGAGGATCTTGTTCAGATGCTCCTCTGTTGGAGGTTCTACCTAATGGTAGAAAGCTTTCAGTCACAGCTTTTAATGGAATGCAAGCAGAGCTATCAAAAATGTATATGGCTTATAGAAAAAGCAAAACCAAAACCGGGTAAAGGAAATAAAACAGCAAAAAAAAAAATATTACATATCTTCTTTTAGATCTGATTATAGCGAACACAATAGCAGTCATTTCTTGTAAGATGGTCTTCATCAAAAGGTTTTTACATCTTTAAGTGGACAATAACATGGCAACATGACAGTATTACTGCACACAGTACGAATACCAAGGAACATTGAATGAAAAAAGCATAGTCTCCAAAAACTGGGAATGCAAGTTAGTTATGCTTGTCCTTCTACCGTAGACTCAACGAGGATGAATCCAAAAAGGCACAGGTTAACGCTGGCGGTTTTCTTATTCATTTAAAAATAAAAACAAACTGATTGCTATTTCCATTATTTACGTACATATCAACATCTGACTTTATTATTTCATGATAAAGAATTTACATTACTAAGTACCGTTGCAATTTGTGCAGTATATAACAGATAGAGTTGCCAATATTCTTTTCAGAAAAAATACTTTTTTTTCACTATATATATATATTTTTTATGTATAAAAAAAAAATAGACAAAACACAGAACGGAGACATGGTATAGGCTAAGGATCCTTCTTCAACTTCAATTACAGTATGAACTCCCAAATCAACAGACATGCGGATTCTAATGAAGTGCAAATTTCTTTGGAGTCTTCAATAAAATATATTACAAGAACGTAAGACAGGAAGAAAATAAAATAAAAAGGCAAGTAGTTCAAGTACAAGGAGCAAGTGGTCCATCTTTAGTGTTTTATTGGCTAGCAGCAAGCCACTTATTTCTTGCGCTGAAAAACATTCGCCAACATTGCACCAGATGTTGTCAGCTGGCCCATTTTGTTCAGAAACTTTGTCTTTGTGTCTTCACTCACAAGGCTTGCTGCAATTGACATGGAACTGAAAAACATAAAAGACAGATTAAAATATGATCACGAGAAAGAAAAAGATTTGTCATTCAGCATCTACCATTATTACTAGGTTCCTAAAAGCTAAAATTATGAATATGTAGAGCTACTACCCCACATCATTACAATGGAAATGTATCTCATCAGTTCTATAAATACTAAATCTTATGGCTGGAGAAATTATACTAAGCTCATGTGGTCTTAGAGGAATATAAAATAAAAGCAAGCAAGTCAAACTCAAATTTAAAAAGTGGGTCAAATTGAATTTAGTCTTTAGAATGCCACAACTACCCAATTCTAATTATAAAAGAGTGTGCCACTTCAGTACCTAACACTTTAAAACCCATCCCTGGGAAAACTTGAAAATGATAACTCGCAGTAGGGCTGTGCTTGCACTGTAAGGGCTAACTGCTCATATAGTCGGGGGGGAGCACCTTTGCTCACCTGATCCTCTGCTCCCCCAGCAGATGGCACTCCCCCATACTCTGACGTTGGACTGTCCCTCAGTGTCATCACATCCAATGCAGGATTATGGATCTTGCACTGGTGTTGATTACATCAGGACCTTGGACCACTGTAGCATGGGAGAGAAGAAGCTGCGGGGACCAGTTAAATAGTGTGAAGGCGTGGAGGATCAGGTAAGTAAAACTAATTAAATATTAATATTAAAGCGGAGCTCTACCCAAAAGGGGATGTTCCACTTTAAGTCTTTATCCCTTTCTCCCCATTAAGGATTGGCACCTTTGGGGAGTGGGATCGCCTAAGGTGATCAATAGCAGAAGTTGTTCTCCTCCCCCCTCCCCCCGTAGTCTTCAGGGACACGTGACAGGTCCCAGAAGACTATGGCCCATTCACAAAGTGCAACACTTCTCGCACATGCACAGTGGGCACCCAGCTGTGAAGCCGCAAGCTGTCAAATGCCGGGTGCCCACACTAAAGATGCCGGCACCAGGGAGAGAAGACGGCCGGTAAAACCAGCCTTGGTGAAGACACCGCTGGAATGAAGAACAGGTAAGTGACTATTTTAAAAGTCAGCAGCTTCAGTTTTTGTAGCCGCTTTTATTTTATTTTTTTTTCAGCTGGAACTCCGCTTTAAAGTCCTATAGACCCAAATGAGCAATAAAGCAATGCAATGCAGGCACAGCCCTACTGTAAGGGATAGCTTCTCCAGAGTTGGGCTTCAAAACATTTCCTCATCTATGGACCTGAAAAATTAGGACATGTAGCTTTCATCAGCTGCACAACAGCAGTTTAAAACTATTTTCTATGCCACTGACCTGGGGCAGGTATAAAGAATTCACAACTTTTCTAAATTAATTACACCATGCATGTTCTGGATCTATGATTCAGAAACTAGCCATGCAGCTAGACTTTTCAGAAGCAGACCAGCAATTGCAGCTCCCATACTTATTCACAGTTGACTGTTGTACTTTAAAGACCAAACGTGTGAACTAGGGTTAGAACTGCATCACGTTTTGTTACTCGATGCCCTCTACCAAAATTTCCTTACATGTTCAGTCTGGTGACAGGGTTAGATGGGGAAAAAAAAAAAAAGATGGGATTTCACCAACAGGAAAAAAATACAGAAATAAAAAACATATTTTTAATAGAGTGGGTAAATTCAGAACATCTTGGAGGTTTCTATTGCTATGTCCTGCTGTCCAGTGACCTCTTCTTTTCCTTGACCAGCTGCCAAAAAGTTGGAAGAGTGAAATCTGCCCAAAGGAGTCAAAACCAGCAATAAAAACTGTTAGAAATGCTAACCCTTCCTCGATAAATAGCTAATCAAACAATTAACCAGAACTGGGCTTTCATTTGTAAGGATTTTCTGGTTACTTAAGAATCATCTAAGATGTGTCTGCTGTTATGACTCTTAAATCAAAAGAACACCAAATTGTTGGCAAAAATTGACCTTGTCCAATACACAGCCATCGTTCAAAATGAATACACAGCTAACGGAAACAAATCACATTAGCAGGTAGAAAGTATGGCAATACGGAAATAGTTTTGTGACTATCAGGAAGATTCCTACTGTTAAAATAATTGTATTCATTATGTAAAAGAGGAATTGTTTTCTTAGGAAATAACTCCAGCAATGTAAGTGAACCCACACATTGTGTCGAAAACAATAAAAAAAAAAAAAACTCACTTCTAACCCTTCTTTTCAGCGCCTGACTTGGACAGAGACCAAACGTTCCAGGTTGGAGCACGAGCACACGATGACATGGAAAACAGATTGGCCGGAAAAAGACAAGCTGAGAGCATTCTGGAATGAGAGTAAGAAAAGCTGAGAGTAGACAGAAAGAGGCACAGTGCAATCCCAATGAGGGCAACAAGGACATGGAGAACACCTTAGCAGAAGAAGAGAAGAAAGGGAGCCAACTACTCAAATCACGGTGAAGAACGTTCTCAGCCAGCTTTTAACTCTCAATTACCAAATCAACATGCTCCGTCACCAATCTGGAACGTTTGGATTTCATGCAAGGATATTTCAAACAACACTAAAATGAGAACTGGACAGCATGTATAAAAAACCAAGTCTTAGAAAAACAGCTTTAAACTGGCCATGTAAAATTAGTACATAGTTTCTGATCTAAACTGGCAAACATTCTGGTAGGACATGTTCAATTCTTCTACAATACATTTTTAAGAGTGCAGGAGAACATGAGCATTCCTTAGGACTGTTGCTTGCGCAAGGGAAAAGTACATATTAGTTTAACCTAATTTTGTCCAATAGTATATATGTTCTGTGATTCAGTCTGCTCATTTCTGTTTGAAAAATAAACTATTCCACTCTGCTTACTTCTGATATTTTGTGCTGAGAGCTATCCCACTCTGGTGACTTCTGATCTTTGTGCTCAGCTGTCTAATATGTTTTCATTGCTGCTGGCAAACAAAGGAGAGTGGATGGAGAGAGATGTCAGAATGACAACAGTTTATGAGGCAGCAATGCTCAACGCCAGTCCTCAAGGTGTACCCAACAGTGCATGTTTTCTAGTTTCATCCTCGGGCTCATGGGTGAAGCACTGTTGTCAGTCCTCAAGAACCTATATTTGAAGGAGTCACACAGAGGGCTGCAGTGAACACCTAAATTGAGATTACATGAAGGCAGTCAACACTGTCTTACACCTTGACCAGTTCCTCTTGAAGGCAGCCACCATTGTCTTACACCTTGACCATTTACACATGAAGGCAGCCACCATTGTCTTACACCTTGACCATTTCCAGATGAAGGCAGCCACCATTGTCTTACAACTTGATCATTTCCACATGAAGGCAGTCACCATTGTCTTACACCTTGACCATTGCCACATGAAGGCAGCCACCATGGTCTTACACCTTGACCATTTCCACATGAAGGCAGTCACCATTGTCTTACACCTTGATCATTTCCACATGAAGGCAGTCACCATTGTCTTACACCTTGATCATTTCCACATGAAGGCAGTCACCATTGTCTTACACCTTGATCATTTCCACATGAAGGCAGTCACCATTGTCTTACAACTTGATCATTTCCACATGAAGGCTGTCATACTGTTCTTACACCTTGACCATTGCAACATGAAGGTTGTCATACTGGTCTTACACCTTGTCCATTCCAACAATCTCCACTACATGACAAAAAGTAAAGAACATTTTAATATTACACCTCTTCTAACCATATCGGAAACAAGGGGGAAGGAATGGATACATGTAGGAGCCTATTAAGTATGCTCCAGATATCAGCTGTTAGTTTTGACAGGGGCAAGGTTCCTCACAGAGAAGAACAGAACAGCCCAAGACCAGCTGTATATTTTTAAAATATATGCAAACCCTTAAAAAGAACTTCTTTTAGCTGCACGCTTTTGGCCAGTTGAAATGATAATATTGAATGTGTTTTGTTATATATTTTGGCAAGTTCAAAAAAACCGGTTGGCCATGTTAGGAACTTACAGCTGTGCTGGGCACACCTTGTTGAGTAATCCCAAGGACTCCTTCCAGCTCTTATTGTGGACTACTAAACAATTATTGCTGTTCTTGTGTTAATGGAGGGGGAGGGTTCAATAGTTTAACAAAAGACAACGGGGCAGGGCTGGCACCATTTCTTGTGATTACAGTCCAGAAAAGGTACTATGTTCTCAGTTCACATTGGGAATTTCAGAATGTAATGCATTTCTGGTAGATATTTTTCTGTACTTGCAGGGTCTTTAAGGGGATAAACAAAATGGGGAAATGTATATGTATTGCATATATATATATATATATATATATATCTCTGTCTATGTCACATGGCTATGTGGTATATGTGACAACAATCTCCCGTATTCTTCAGAAGTCTAGGCAAGACAGAAGCCTTTTCTTAGGAAGAGAAACATCCAAGCCAGATTTTGCAAAAATACATCTGAAGTCTCCAAAAAGCATGTGGGAAAATGTGTTATAATCTGAAGAAACTGAGGTTGAACTTTTTGGCAATAATTCCAAAAGATATGTTTGGCGCAAAAAACACTGCACATCACCAAAAGAACACCACGTGCCCACAGTGAAGCATGGTAGGGGCAGCATCATGATTTGGGGCTGTTTTTCTTCAGCTGGAACTAGGGTCTTAGTCAAGGTAGAGGGAATTATGAACAGTTCCAAATACCAGTCCAATATTGGCACAAAACCATCAGGCTTCTGCTAGAAAGCTGAACATGAAGAGGAACTTCATCTTTCAGCATGACAACGACCCAAAGCATACATCCAAATCAACAAAGGAATGGCTTCACCAGAAGAAGATTAAAGTTTTGGAATGGCCCAGCCAGAGCCCAGACCTGAATCCGATTGAAAATCTGTGGGGTGATCTGAAGAGGACTGTGCACAGGAGATGCCCTCGCACTCCGACAGATTTGGAGTCTTTTTGCAAGGAAGAGTGGGCAAATACTGCCAAGTCAAGATGTGCCATGCTGATAGACTCATACCCAAAAAGACTGAGTGCTGGAATCCTATCAAAAGGTGCTTCAACAAAGTATA